TTGTAGCTTCAGTTACAGCCAGTTCTATGAAAATAATGTGTGACCAAGTCACATTCTGGTAAATGAAGAGAATTTAAGAGATTATCTCAAGAGTCTACGCTGACAGCTACAACAGCTTGGACTGTTCTAAAAGGCTATATCTGTAAAGTAAATGTTCTGAGGTGATACAGAATAATCAGAATCAGAATCAGAATACTTTATTGATCCCCCAGGGATCAATAAAGTATTCTGATTCTGATTCTGATAATACAAATATCACTGAACTACAGCTGCTTTACACTGCCTCACACCACATCAGACCTTATCTTCAATTGGTTACTGGATGTCTACCTCTGTGATCACTGATCCAAGTCTCAGTGAGCGGATTTTTATCTAGCCATCCAATTATTTCCGTCTTACCACTGTTTCCAACATGGTCCCCGGATGATCATACAATCAATGCACTGATCGGCACTACTGGAAGTCTCTGCTTTTCTGGCTCAGAGTGTCAAGAGGATCGGTCAGTGACTTTCCTTATTATATATGAAACTGCAGGTAGGACTGATTTTAGTTTCAAATAAAAATGACAGAAGATTAAAAAAAAGAAAAGAAGTACTGTCTATAATTTGACAGGACATTTGTCAAAATTTGTCCTACTTTATCCAAATTCACTCATAAACCATGTCCCATGGTGATTAATGAAAATAACAACATCACCACCATCTAGAGGGACAGCCAAAGGATTAAAGTCACGAGGATGTGTTTGTCAGGACCATAAATGTGTATATATTATCCTTGTACAAAACTAAGTGGGAATTTTATCTGAAGGTGTTAGCATTCATTTGATTATACTCATAAAGTTAACCTAACCACAACAAAGTGACACTTCGGGATCTATGCCATCACTGCATAGATTATCATGAATTTTAAAAATGCCGTAGTAGATGAGTCTGATTAGGTTTCAAATGGTTAATCGATTGTTGATTTCACACATTTGTGGGCTCTTGGCTAACAAATGGATTGTGATTTCAGCAGGGAGCAATCCCATCAGCCAGCTGACAATGTCTCACTGATTTTAACATATGTTAAGAGCTAATCAATAAACTGATTGGCAGCAGCAGTAGCCTGAAGGTTAGACTTTGTCCATTTATTGTCACGGCCAGTCAGTTTGTGGCACTGAGGTCATACATGTAACGGTAAACATTCAGCTCTATTAAGCTGACATTCTGTGGGGATGTAAAGTAGTTAGTGTAGCTGACATCAGCAGTTCTTAAGTGCTATTTGAGTCATAACAGGAAAATGACCTTATTTAATCCCTCAGATATGACTTCCGTCCAACAGGACATTCCAATTCAGCATTTTTTAATAGACTACAGCAGTGTTCACTCATAACAGCTTTACAACTCTTTAACAAGTAAATCACATAGAAAAAGATACATTTGCACAACATTTTGGGTTATCGCTCATTCACCATGCAAATTTAGCATGGCCAATAGAGACTAAGTAGACAAATTATTATGGAACATGCCAGGTTAAATGAAAACTCATTAGCTTTCAAGGCACCTAACCCAGCAACCCTGTTGATGATTTGGAAAGACTAGCCCACTGATTAATTAAACATTAATGATTACAAAATGAGAGAATCCATTAGTCAGTAATGACATCTTGACTGTATGGCAAAGCTACACAGAAAACTGAAAGTGCTCACTGCTTTTTATTTATTTTTTTATTATTTCCTTTCTGCTCCAGCAATCCTAACCATAGACCACCCAGTCTCTGATTCCATGGACCACCACCATTTCTTATCAGTGTCCTGCAGAAAAGCCATATCTTAAATTTTGGCTTTTGTGGAATGGAGAGCTGATAAGACCCCATACATCTGAGCGGATCCCCTGTGAACCACTGAATCTGATATCCCTGCAACTTAGCCTTAACAGCTTTAATATATTTAAGGTATGTGACGCTTTGCAGTCTGGATCATGTTCTCAGACTACATATCCACTTGTCTCAGAACATCATGTCGACTGTGAAGTGGGTACATAAAAATCAGAGAAGATCCACTTCAAACTGTATAAATTCTCTAATCTCTGTCAGCAGCTTCACCTCTCCCCTCCATGTTCTTATTTTCTCAGTGTTCTGCTTATCAACCCAGAGAGGGGTCACTTGATTACTCACTTCTTTCTTTTCTTTAAGCCACAACCATCTGTCACATAGAGACATAGGAACAAGGAGAAAGTGAGTTGAATGACAACATGACAGGTGATGCATATTTGAGCCAGAACAGATTGACGACCACCGTCAAGACTAACTGGCACGGGAGAGGGAGGCATAGACAAGAAAAATAATTTTGATAAAGAGGAGAAAAATATATGTTCGTGCGCTCCACACATGGAATAAAAATGTTTCAAATAAGAACTTCCACGCACCTGTTCTGAGCATTGTAAAATACCACAGGGTTATCGGTGAGTATTCCGGAAGTATAGTCGTTTTATTTCAGAATAAAAGCGCAACAATTTCATACACAACGTATTCTGGTACTCTGGTCATCAGCGTTAACGTTGTTGAATATTATGGTTAGAAACTAACAATCACACCTACCAGGCTCTCTTTTGCTCTCTCTTAAATTGATAGCATTTTGTTTAAATACAAGTTAAAATTAATTTACCATATTAAACAGATTATTTTAGTTTAATTGACTTAATGCGTTTGTTAATTGGCCCACGTTGGCTAAAGATAACCCTCAGTTCTCTGCATTGCATAGTCTGCAGTCCCCTTAAAGCAGGGTGGGCAATGAATTTTCCCAAGGGTAACATTTGAAAATGGGACAGAACTCAGTTCTGTTCAGTATCTATTTATGTCTTTATAAGCTTGTTGGCGCAGTTCTCCACAACAGCCTGGTTTATTGTGTAAACCAGAGGTGTCCAAACAACTTACTCCGGCCCGCGGTCCATTTTTAATTGGCCCACAAGTAATTTTATAAATAGAATAGAATATGGCCCGCACTTCAACTTTTACTAGAGTATTGCACTTCTTAGTTTTAACACCAGGGGAAACTACTGTTGATCAAGGCAGTTGCTCCACCAAAAAGGACAATCACAGAAGAAATGTACCCCAAGTTACTAAACATGGCAGAACCAAAGAAGCGAAAGGTAGAAAGTGAATGCAGAAAATTTCAGACACGGTGGGAGAGTGAATATTTCTTCAAAGAATTCAAGGGGAAGTGTGTCTGTTTGATCTGCACTGAAACTGTGGCAGTTATGAAAGACTATAATGTACGACCTCATTATGAAACCAAACATCAGGCCTATGCATCCTACACTGGTGCTGAGCGAGAGCAGAAATGAAAGCAAATGGTAGCTCTCCTGCGGGTCAGCAACAGTATTTTTTTCGTGCTCAAATTGTCCAGGAAAAGGCTCCAATAGCCAGCTATGAGGTCGCCCAACTCATCGCAAGACATGGCAAGCCTGTTTCAGATGGAGACCTCATAAAACACGGCCTCGTTAAAGTCACCGAAATAATGTGCCCGGAAAAAGTGCAGGACTTCAACAACGTCAGCGTGTCCAGAGATACAGTTGTGCGACGCACTGAAGACTTGTCAGCCAACATTTAACTGCAACTGTCTGATGAAGCTGTGCTTTTGATTTTTACTCCATCGCATGCGATGAGAGCACCAATGCCACAGACACCGCACAGCTGCTAATTCTTTTGCGGGGAGTGGACGAGAGCATGAGCGCTTTAGGTGAGTAAAAATATATATTCCACAGTACCCGTGTGTTAATGTGCAGGTACACATGCTTCAAATATCAATAATGCGCATCAATTCTGTCACTACCCTGCTTTTGCGCACAACTTTCTTATATGCACAGCGCACGCACACGTAGTCAGCTGTTCTCATCTGATGCAGATTTGCTCCTTGATCAAGTAACATTTGTCCGGATTTTTGGCACGAGTGGCGTACGATCAGCACCGCAGCTGGATGGCCCGATTTACATACCCAGCACAGCTGATACTCACCAGAATAATTTACTAAAATTATATACACTCCTGTTATTAAGTCCAGTTCAGTCTGTTAATGTTGATAACCGTTTCAAACGAACGTTAATAGGTGTGTTGCTAAGCCTAATAACTTAAATAACAAGCTTGAAATGTACCCGTCCCATTTTCCCCTTTATTGTTTTTCTCTGTGCTGTAAATCTTCTAAGAAGAAATCTGAGGCTGCTGTTCTGAGAATGAGCTACCAAAGCTTTTTCTGGATAAATCAATAAATTTCTATTTCCATTTATGGAAAGCTGTGATGAAGGCAGTTTTGTCTTTAATTATATTCAACAATATAACATATTCGATCACTTTTAAGTGATTTTTCTAACTTTAATACACTAAAGTTAAGGTTATATACCTAATTTCTAGTAAGTGACCCGGCCCCTCCTATATTTTTATGTATGTGGCCCTCAGTGAAAAAAGTTTTAACACCCCTGGTGTAAACCCTTGGGAAGATTCATTAAGTGATTGGTAGCAGAATTCATGTTTACATAGGAACATCGTGGAAGCAAAGGGATCCTCTATGGGCAGACAATGACAATCAGACACTTAAGGGCAGCCTCAGACATTTTTATATGACTACTTTATCAAGAGCGGATGTAAATTAAACTTCACATTCATGGTATGGAGGGTGCCTGGGGGGGGGGGTGGGGATTCTATTACCATTCAAAAGTGAAGACTTTTAGGAATTTGGGAAATTTTGGAATGCATTTTGAATGACATGCAGACTTGCATGGGCGGATAGATTCCTCAAATGGTATTCCAGCCATCTGCCACTGTAACACCAGTGGTGCAATTTTATAAATGTTCCTATATCCAGTCACACTGTCAGATTCTGTCCTTATCCTAAAAACCAGTTCCATGTGGTTAAAAAAGTACTTGAAAAGCGCCACTCGCTGCTTTTATTTTGAAATCTGTATGAGGAAGCGATGTTCTCCTCTCAGATGAAACATGGCACTTGTCGGACCTGACACGCTCCGGGGATTAACGGTAACAGAGCAGCGACCTGCGAAGAGGATCGCGAAGCAGGTTAAGCTTTCAGTGAGCGAGTAACCGGGCGGCAGCTTGGCCGGGACGTTACTGCTCTTTTTATTCTGCTTCATTTTCTGCCCTTTTATACATTTTCCTCTTCTCTTTAACTCCTGACTGCAGCAGAGACCCACAGAGTTGAGAGAGGGTGAGCGACGGGAAGAGAGACTCAGAGACAGAAAGAGAGAGAGAGCGAGAGAGAGAGGACAGCAAGAAAGAGAACGGGAGGGAGTGGGTGAAAAAGAAAATCCCAAATTCGATATTAAAAGCTTGTCGAACAAGCCAGGAAATGTACTGGTTTGGATTTTAAGTGCTTAATAACCAACAAACTCTCCCTAACCCGCGGAATTTTTCTGGATTAATTTGAGTTTTCCACCCCTTTTTTCCTACCTGGGATATTTTCTGCCTTGCAGCGGAATTCTCCCTGTTTCACCTGCCCTAGGTGAAAGAGGGAGGAGAAGGAGCGGAAGAACAGGCGAGAAATAGAAGACAAAAAGAAGGAAGACAGAGAAGAGGAATGAGACGGGCGGAGGGCTGAGAGAATCACTCCAGTTTTCTCTCGGATCGGATTCTTCCCTTACCAAGCGGGTGGAGGGATGAAACCGGGAGAGAAGAAGACGGGGGAGAGTGTGAAAGAGAGAGGAGCGAGAACAAGAGGAGGATGTATTCGTCGGGCGCTGTGAGAATGCAAAACGGACGCACCCCTCCGGAAGATCGGATTGAACTATAAACCTAAACGGAATTTACAGACAACCAAAGGATATTACGCACATTTACTTCGATATATACGTATATGGGGCATATTTTCGTATTTGGAGCATATTTGTGTGGAATTACAACTATAATTGCCACTATCTTCGCAATAATGGGATTTGGAGAAATAATTGCGCGCTGACAGCCGGTGAACGAAGAAAACCTATCCTTGAAAGAGGTAAAGTTTAAACTCTTTTATTTCTTGTTTAACGCACAAAATGAAGGCTCGGCTTTCTCTTGCCCTCTCTATCTATCCACCTATGCCTCCAACTCTTCCTTCTCTGTGCCTGGGTCTGCTGGAGCCGGGGAATGGTCGTCTGTTGAGGGGTAAAAGAGTTATTTCTAGACTCCCGTGCGCTGACATTTAGTCTGGATGCTGATATGCTGCGGGAAGGAGGCAGAGGGGGTGTAGTTTGATAGCATTGGGTAGGTGGCTGGAGGGCACAGAGAAGGGGCTAGTGCATTAAAGAAAACCACCACTGCGAACATTGCAAGGTCAAAATTAAACCTGGCGTAAGTTACAAAGGCTCTGTGTGAGTCTGTGGAGGTAAAGCCTACATTTTGAGCAGCTCTCTCCGTGTGTGTGTGTGTGTGTGTGTGTGTGCACGCGGGCGTTCGAGCCCGCGAGCTCAACCAGAAAGAATGAACAACTTGAGCGTGCGCGCAACGTGCGTCTCCAGCGAGAAGAAAACCCACTAAAATGTCCATGCAGCGGTTATTAAAGCGCGCAGGTATCTGCACTTCAGCACGCCTTTTTGTGCAGTACGCGCCACACCTTTACCTGATACCTGAAAATAAATAAAATTAAATCATGCATCAGTGTTTGTGCGCGTGCGTAAAGCAATTAAACCCACACACAATGTAACTAGAACACCACAACGATTTAGCTTTAGTATCCACCGTCTGTCAGTTTCAAATAATGACAGGGATGTTTTGTGTATGTTTGCGTGCGCGGGCACGCGTGAGACAGCGAAAGGGGGGGGGGCGCTACCGCTGAATAGCATAGGCCAGTATAGTTTGTGTGCACAACATAAAAAGTACAATATCTAAATAACAAGAAATTGTATCCATTTATTGATTAATTTCAAGGTTTCTTGCATTTTCAACCCATTGCGCTGATCTTGACTCTGCATCAGAGCAGATTCTGTGCTGGCCCATCAAAAGCTGCTCGGCTGCTGTAAATGTGGCATCCACAAAGATATAAAGTCTACAGGGTGATAGTAGATATGCTTACACAACAGAAGCAAACTGCTAAAACCACAAGCCTTACACATATTTGCTCAGCTCTGGAGTGTGGTCCACTGGCGCTCCATGTAAACATGGTCATCCATGCCTGCAGTTCAAAAACCATCAGTTAAGTTTAATGTTTGTTTTACGTATCATTTTTGACAGTGTGTAGCTGGAAGGTTGAATATCCCTCCAGCCCACAGGAAGTATTTGTATAAAGAAATGAAAGCAGTTTTGAGCTGGCATTGTGCTCCATCCCTTGGCTGAGACTCATTCCTGCATTATAATGTATGAAACACAGAAAAAACACACACAAAATGGCTGCAATGAAAGTGGCTCTAATAATAAAATAACGTTTATGATGGGATATGCTGTTGTTTGTTGCTGTCATTCCAAAAAAAAAAAAAAATCCTGTCCACAGATGTCCTTTCAGGGGGTTCATTTAAAGCAGAATGAAAATTATTCACCAATTATGTGTATTTTTTTTTAAATTAATTATGCCTGTCATAGAAAATTTTACTAATCTAACCAAATTTGTTCCCATGTCATCATTACCCTGTCTGTGGGGTTTCTTCTTTTGTCTTTCCCACGGTTCTGCATTTTGCTGGATTGGAGTTTCGTCAGTTTGTACTAGTACAGTACAGTAGCTTGCATTGATTGATCAAGGCAATAAATTTATGCACACGAGCCACTCGTGCTGGTGCTAATGGCCCGTGGATATGGAGGCATTATGCAAATGTATCCCCTGCTCTAGAAAAAGAGTGTGGGTGAATGAGCGAGGAGAGAAACTGGTGATTTTTGGTCCATTTTAGTTGTGTTTAGCCTCCTCTTTATGCCTGAAAGGAGTGGTTTACCATGCCATTAGGTTTTGGATAAATGACACTGCATGTGTGTTACAAACTGAGTTTTCATTTTGAAAGACTTGGAATGAGTTTCTATTAAAGCTACTTCAGAATAGTTGCTGAGGTTTGATTTACCTGGGTTACATCAGTGTAAAATTTATAGCATTTGATGAGCATCTGATGGGCTTGTAAGGCTTGGTTTATGCTTTTGTGTGTGGTGATGTCTATGAAATTTCTCTCAGGCGTAGGTGTGATTCAGAAGCATTATTCTTTACCTTGCATTACCACAACCCCAAAGCGAGGTGGTGAGGCTGTTATTTATTCTTTATTAAGGCCATCTTTTTTCCCTCTGTTTATCTGTCTCCAACTTTTTCCCTCTCTCTTTCCTCTCTCTGTTTAGCTATCTGACAGAGGGCTGCAGGATCCTGCAGAGTGGGTGGTGGAGCTCTAATTCAATTTATTCTACTGCTCAGAGACAGACAGAGAGAGCAGGGGAGATAGTGAGAGAAAGAGGGAGAGGGATGGAGACCACAGATGTTAGGGAACATTTCCTATTAGCAGAGGAGAGGGAGGCCTTATAGGGAGCTGGCCTGACGATGTGACATCTGGAATGCTTCTGCAGCTGTCTGAAATTATGTGTGCATGAGTGTGTGGTCATTATCGAGTGAAACAACATGTCCTTAAAATGCCATCAGAGTCTGGAGGACCAAACAAAAAAAAAAACCCTATTCTTCTGTCTGTTGTTCACTAAACTATCAGCTGAGGCACGCATGAGTGACAGCTCAGAGCTGTCAGACAAAGTGACCGGTGACATTCACTGAGCTCGTTTCTTCCAGTAAAAAACAAGCAGCTGAGATCCTGTTATCTTACAGTATGTTGTCAAAAATACTGCGTGGAAAATAATCTATTAAATGACTTTTCTGTCATAAACCACAGAAGTAAGTAAACCCCCAGTCAAGACTTTTTATTAGATCTTAAAGTAGCTCTTAAAAAGCCAGTATGACTGTGTCAGAGTCACTGTTTCCTAACTGGTTGAGATGTTTCTCATTATGTAATTAGAGCTATTCTTTCTGATTGGTATTGGAGTCTCACGTGGCATTTGTTTGCATTAATCTTCGCTGATAATACCTTATCGCTGAAGTGTGTCTGTCTTATTGCCCCTTAATATGCCCCATAATTAAGCATTTTTCTCAGAGACTGTCGGTGTTCTCTTTATTTTATTAGAACATGTCAAGTTTAATTAGGTGCATTCAGCTATGTATCTGCAATCAGCGATGATGTGCCTCACGATTTGATTTGGGTCCTCATTTCTTGTGTATATGCTTCCATTAAGTGAATTATTATGGAAAGCGGCTGATATACAAATAACACAGCAGCTGGAGGAAGCCAGAGGGAGTGTGGGTTGGAACTGTGCCTCCCATATCATATATTTCCATGTTTTTTTTGTTTTGTTTTGTTTTTTTATTTCACCAAAATATTGTTGTTTTTTTTCACTCTGACATTAACCACAAATTTGCCTACAATGCATCAATCGTTTGTTTGAAGAATGTTATACATAATTCCTGAATGTTAACCCAATTCAGTGGTTTCTGTTTGAGTTTAGAAATTTAGCATTTCAGATCTTAACTACAAAATTCACTGCTTAGAAACAAAAGCAAATCCATAAATAATAACTATATAGAATTTACCAGTTAACTAGTTAGCTACTAAGTTACTTAATTAATAGTCTTTCTCTGTAAGGCAGGATTAGTCTTTGGCTGATTGGTAGCTCTAGTTAAGATCCTGATTGAAACTCATTACAAGGTCTGTAATTATTGTTGAATAGATTTGTATAGATTTGTAAAGTTATCTCATCAGCTTCTTAAGTGCAGCTTCAACACACAGTCTTTGTTTGTAGTAGATATGTACTATTTTTCTTCTCATATGGTCTCTTTCTTTCTTACGTAAGTTACATAATGTTCACACCCACATTAGCCACCCCACCCCTCCCCATGCTACCTTTTTCCACACACCTGCTGCTTCACAATCACCTGTGATGTGTCTGACACTGCATCCTGCTTTAGGAAGCCGGTGGGGAGGGTGTTTGGGTGTACGTTTGGCTGTGCGTGTATGATGGTGTGAGCATGAAGACTGTGTGACATGACAGATGTGAGGCATGTTGGGCAATAATGAGCTGTGTGCAGCACAGATAACTGAATGTGACACAATACAGATTTCTGGCTCAGTGCCTACAGTGTGTGTATCTGTCAGTCTACTACTGTGAATGACACATATGCATTAGGTACAGGCTGATTAAGTAGACATTCACATTAACCTATGGGCCAGATTTGTTAAGTGGGAAGCATTGGAAAAATGTGATTCCACTCACATGGGAATGCAAAGTTGTGATCTACTTAAAATGTGCTAATTTATAAGCAAGTAATGTAATAGCCAGCATTCAACCAAGACCAGGGGGCAGCTAAAGAAGAATTGATTTGTTTTTGAATTTAAATGTAAACTGTTAAAAATTGCTTGAGGTTGTGTGTTAAGTGTTTGTGCTCTTTGGGTAAATCTGTCTGCTCCAGAGGAACTCAGGACTTAGCCATAGGAGGGCGTCAATTACAGTACAATCAGATTCTGACCCATCCATTTATTAATCCAATTACTGTTATTGTAAATCTGTGAATCACATTCATGTACTTGGGTGATGAGGGCGATGATTTAGTGAAGAGCTGCAGAACAAAAGTAAAGTTTTGCCACTTTGCTCACAGCTTCAAGCCATCCATATGTGCTGATTATGCATCTATCCAGCAATTGTTCCCCATCTTTGAAAACACCAGCAAGTGCAAAAACAAGACTTGTTTTTAAAAAAAGATTCAACACAGTAAATACTGAGCCATGCATTTAGTAAATCACGCTTGTGAGATTCATTTAAACGCTCTTCTTCTAAAATTTTGTATACTGAAAGCACAATTCGTTATTTCTCGTTGAATGCATATGTAATAAATCCTACAATTAAAAGCTTTAAACGATTAGCTACCAAGGAGGAGCACCATTAATTCATTCTTGTAGGCTTAAATATTACCAGGCTGTTACACATTAACATTAACACGCTGTAAACATTAAACAG